CCTGTTTCAAAATACAGTGACCTACAACTACCCGCCCCCAATTTTGAGACAAGGTCCTACTCACTAAGTCACCAAATTGCCCAGCCTGGGCTCAAACTTATACTCCTGCCTCAGCCTCCTGAGTGCTGGGATCACAAGTGTATACCACACCACACCCTACCTGATCGCCACTTAAAATTTCATTTTCTTTCATTTACCACTCAAAAATAAAATTGAGGTTTCATTCAATGTGAGATTCAGGTTAGACAGAATGAAACTACAGGATTCCCCTCTTCAGACCACATCTTGTTTTTTTAGGGCAGGCTGGCCTTGAACTCACTGTGTACCTTAGGCTGGCCTCCGACTCACTGCAATCCTCCTGCCTCAGCCTCCTAAGTGTAAGATCAGAGATGTGGTGGCCCATCCCTGATCAGAGCTCCTCTCTTAAAAAACATCTGTCAGAGAAACCCTAAGGAAGGCAAAAAAGCCTTTGCGCATGATTGAAGTAAGGAGCCTGACAGTGTCGAGAAGGCCTCTGGTCCACATTTCCGGAGTCCCTGCCAGTCCTCGTGGGGCCAGGGCCCCTCCCTGCCCAGGGGTTCAACCTCAGCCGCAGGGAGTCTGCTTCTGGCGTTTCATGATTGGAAGGGTGAAGAAACTTCTGGCAACTGCGTGATTTCAGATTGTTCCCAGGGGAAAAACTGTAAGATTGACAGCTGATAAAGTAGGTCATTGTCCAAGCAAAAGTACAGACAGGTGAGGATGGGGTGTAGCTCCACAGGGAGTGTGTTCTAAGCCCTGGGTCAATCCCACCAGCATGAAAAAATGGGGGGGGCATGAGATGTAAGGAGACTAAACCCAGCGCTTTGCACTGAGCTATTTCTCCAGCCTCTTTTTTAATTTTGATTGACACAGGGTCCCATGGACTTACCACACTGCCCAGGCTAGGCTCAAATCTGCAGTCCTCCTGCCTCAGCCTCCTAGAGTGCTGTGTAATTACAGACTTGTGCCTTAGTCTCCCAGAGAACTGGAATTACTATATACCACACCACACCTGGCTAAAAACTTCTACAAATTCAAAGGTTAATATTAAATGAATCCTGTTATTGTTGGGCATGGTAGCACATGCTTGTAATCCCAGCACTTTGGAGGCTGAGGCAGGAGGATGCCAGGAGGCCAGTTTGAACTGCACAGTGAGACCCTGTCTCAGTGTATCAGAACAAAAAATATGAATCCTGTTATGCAATCATTTTTTAAACTTTTGCCGGCATATGAATGTATGTGTGAAATTTATTACTAATTACAAATATCATTACCCTAACGCTCGTAAAAGTATTAATGAATGAGGACCAGAAGAAAGATCACAGGGTCAAAATTCTACCCTTACATTTTCTAATAGGCTTCTGATTTGCAGGAATATGGCCTAAAATCTATGTTTTGGCCCCAAATCAAATAATTATGAACATGGATTTTTCAAGAATTGCTAGCTGGACATGATGGTGGACACCTATAATCCCAGCATGCGGGAGGCTGAGGCAGTAGGATCACCACAAATTTGAGACCAGCCTATGTACAGTGAGGTCAAGGTCAGCCTAAACTGCATAGTGAGACCCCATCTCAAAGAGACAAAAAGAGAGAGAGAGAGAGAATGCACTAACGATAAGCTCATACATTAAGAAGAATCATGCCTTTTCTTTGGGTTTGTTTGTTTGCTTTTTGCCGTTCTAGGAATTGAACCCAGGGCCTTCTCACTAAGCTGCATCCCCAGCCCTTTTTTCATTCTTTATTTAGATACAAGGTCTTCCTCAATCACCCAGGCTGGACTGGAATTTGAAACCCTCCTGCCTCAGCCTCCCTAGTGCTCAGATTACAGGCATGTGCCACCACACCCAGCTCTGACTGTATTTTCTCAGACTGATGAGTGGTATCAGCGCCCACTTGCACTCACGAATGACTACAGGGTATGGGCTGAAGGGGGCGGGGGTGGGCACTATTCAGTGGGCTTTCTCGTGCTCTGGTGCCCTCGCAATGAGTATGTTTTAAAGCTGAGAGGAGAAAGAAAAGCAATTTCAGAGTTGTCTTTGAACATAGTGCATTGTGTGTGGGGGTGTGGGTTTGGATCCCGGGGCTCACATGTGCTAAGCACATACTTTACCAAGCTCCACTCCAAGCTTCTAACGCAAACCCTTTTGCTTTCTCTTGGTTAACGGTCCCAGGACACAACACTGGAGTACTCACCCGTTTGAAGCTGTGCCAGCTTGGAAAGCCTCACCCAGTGGATGTACATTGGAGGCCTATTCTTCTTGCAGGTGAGAGCTGCAGGTGAAAAGCTCCATTTTCTCACACGTCTTTCAGCTTAAAAGCAGTGAAGCTCACCGGGGCTGCGACCCTCACACTCCCTTTACCTGTACAGCTGACAGGACCCACGGCCGGAGCTCCGCGCAGGCCCAGCGATCCACCCCACATGGAGTCTCCTGCCTGAGTTCCCTGCGGGGAGGCCACACTAAGCATTTATCTGCCCTTCCCAGAAACCCAAAGAGAGAGAATTAATAGCCAAATGCACAAACAGGTCCAGTTGGGCTGGCACAGTGAGGCGGTCCCTTCCGCATTAACTTTGGAACTGATCCCTTTGGTCCTGTTTCTGGTTTCCTCGGTCCTCCTATGTCTGAAAGCCAACCTCCCCCACTTAGCTCAAGGGGACGGATTCTGGTTTACAGAAGGTGTGGTCTGGCACAGTCAGGGCACATCTGTAATCCCAGCTGCTCAGGAGGCTGAGGCAGGAGGATCATTGATTCAAGGTCAGTTAGGCAACTTAGCAGACTCGATATCAAGATAAGATTGTTTTAAAAAGCCCTGGGGATGTGGCTCCGTGGTAGAGTGCTTTTCTAGTGTGTGTGTGGTGGTGGGGAGTTTCAATCCCCAGGATAAGGAGAGGGAAAAAAGCCAGGTCATTCACCACTCCCGGTTCATAAACAAAGGGCAAGCTGAGGAATCACAATAGAGGAATCACAATAGCCTAAATTGGGGGATGATTACAAAATGCAGGTGGCCTCCTCCATCTTCACCACAGGCAAATCCTTTCATCTGCCAGTCTGGCCAGGATTCTCCTATTTGTGTGCGGCTTTGTGACTCATGGTTCACGTCATCAAATAGAACAAATGACAAGGGTCCCCGTCCCCGAACCTACGGCAGACACGCCTCACCCTCCAGTAAAGGACCTCAGTTCCTTGGAGAACTCTGAAGTCACCAATCCAACTGAGAGGAAGAGAAAGGTAAGAGGGTCTGTGGTTGTCCTGACAGCCTGTAGCTTGGCTCTGGGAATCACGATTCGCCATGGAAGTGAATGTGTCCTGGCCCAAGCCACCCTCTCTCACCACCTGCATGAAAATACACTCCTTCACTGACAGTGTTTAAAAACCAGACAATGCCGGGCGTGGTGGCGCACGCCTGTAATCCCAACACTTGGGAGGCCAAGGCAGGAGGATCACTGCAAATTCAAGGCCAGCCTGGGCTACAAAGTGAGCTCAAGGCCAGCCTGAACTGCATAATGAGAACTTGTCTCAAAAAGATGGGGGAAAAATAAAAACCTCACAATGGTGCTGGATGGGGTGGTACACGCCTGTGATCTCACCATGCAAGAGGCTGAGGCAGGAGAATCACCGACAGTTTGAGGCTAGCCTGGGCTACAGTGAGTTCAAGGGCAGCCTGAGTTACAGAGCGAGGGCCAGTCTCAAAAAGCAAAATGAGCCAGGTGTGGTGGTGCACACCTGTAATCTCAGCACTCAGGAGGCTGAGGCAGGAGGACCCCTGCAAATTCAAGACTAGCTTGGGCTACTAAGTGAGCTCAAGGCCAGCCTGAACTGCACACGGAGACCCTCCCGCGAAAACACACACACACACACAAAAAAAAGCAAAATGAAAGACAATGGGAGAACAAAGCAGGTTAATCTTCCTGGCCACCCCCTACCCCGTGGCCAAAAAACGGCCCCCAAGTCTCAAAATTAGGCCTGGCAAGAGTGACTGATGGAAGCATCTACCCCACCCCCATGCTCTACACAGAGAGACTGTAAGATTGACCAGAAAGAAATGCCTTCAGTTTTACGGAAATGCACCATAGACAAAGCCACGACTTCCGCCTCTGCATTGAAATGCTGAGCTGGAGCCATCAAAGCTCAACTGTCCTTTACCTGAGGGGAGTCAGGTAAGGGCGCTTAGCAACTGGGAACTACAATTTGCAGACAAGGGGCGGAGCTCAGTCGCAAGTGTGCTTAACCTGAGGTCCCAGGCGTGGGTCCCATCCTTAGTATCCTAAATAAAATTAGCTGAAAAAAGGAAACTGGATTTGCTAAACAGAATATACATGATACAGACATACGGTTTTAGGTAGGAGAAATATCCTAAGCATCTTTAATTAATGATCAGCATTCTACTCAAGGAGGGGGAAATGATGTATTATAGACTCAATCTCCCCCAAAACGTCTGCAGATTCATCCATCAAGTTCAAGATGTAATTCTAGCAGGGCGTGGTGGCTTGAGCTTGTAATGCCACCACACTCAGGAGGCTGAGGCAGGACGATCACAAGTTTGAGGTCAGCCCCTAAGACATAGGGAGACCCTCTCTCACCATCCCACCATCAAACAGACTGACTTAACTCAGATAGTACTGGAAGCATAAGACCAATCATGATAACCAGGTGTCAAAGGTTAATGTTGGAAAAGTAGATAGAGCCAGATCAAGGAGAAAAGACCAACTTGTCAGTCTCCAGTGAAAACCAGTATCATCCTTGCTCACTCTCTACAGTGCACCGGGCAGCACGCCCACAGGGGGTATGCCCTTTAGCCCTGTGGAGCATTCAGAGGAGCCAGGGCACCCACTAACATGCATAGTGCCAGGAAGAAGGGTCCAAGGAGCCCAGCCGGCTCCTGCTCCAAGGTCCGGAAGTTGAGAGGGGGAGTGCTGAGTCATTCTTAATCCCAGAGTCTTTGTGCAAAGATTTAGGTCTTCAAAACCTGAGTCATAAATTTTGCTAGTTGAAATAAAAAACTACACATACTCCAAGGATGCACGGAAGTGCATTGATTTACCTCCAAATTGATCATTGGGAAGCAAGCCAACAAGTTCCATGATAGTGTGGATGCGGTTTAAGTGAGCTTAAGGGAGCCAGCTTAAGGGGCCTTCAAGGAGGGAGTTGACCGGGACAGGGGACAGTGACAGGGAAGGAGCTTCCGGTCAACCTTTTACATCATTATATGTAAACTATGATGGTGGGTGGGAAGAGAATGGAAGATTTTAAAGAAAAAAAATTTACATCTCAAAAAAACAATAAATCCTGAAGGATAAAAGCCAAGTGGGGAAGGAACCCTCTGAATGTAAGGCCCAGGCAATCACACCTAGAAATTACTTGCACCACTAGACTTTAACTGGAGTCCTTCTGCAGGTAGTTGCCATCCAAACACGAGGCATAGGTACCTGTTAAAATGGGACTGAGAGCAAACAATGCAGATCACTTAGGCCCGGGTTTAGGCACCTTGGAAAACTCCCCATATATCAGAAGCAAAGTTAGTATTTCAGGACGGCGGATTTTAAAAGTAGGTTGAGTTAAAGACTGCAGGTTAGAACCGGCGTTCAGAGCTGCGTTGCTGGGCGTGGAGCCCCAGCACTCCAGAAGCTGGAAGCCAAGTCAGGAGGATGAGATGGAGGCCAGCTTGACTACGTGAGCCCCCCATCAAAACAAAAACCAAGCCGGGGGTGATGGCGCACGCCTGTAATCCCAGCACTGGGGAGGCTGAGGCAGGAGGATCGTTGGGAGTTCGAGACCAGCCCGGGTTACAAAGTGAGCTCAAGGCCGGTTTGAACCGCATGGTGAGATCTTGGCTCAAAAAGATTTAAAAAAAAAAAAAAAAAAAGCAGTTTCTCTGCCCCCAAAAAACTAAGGCAGCTAAAGAGGTCAAGGCAACGTAGTCACAGATTTGTGAAATTTACCTAGAGCTCAGTATCTTTTCTCACACGGTAAGCGTCTAAATGAGACAACTCTTCGAAGTCCCCATCACCCTCTGTGCTCCCATTTGACACAAGGGTTGGTTGAAGAGTGTGATCACCCGCATCCTTGTGAATAACCGAGATACTGAAAAATAGATCTACAGCGCGACGACCAGGTGGCCCACACGAAACACTGCAGTCCGGAAGCCCGAAGGCTGGTGAAAGAGGTCTCCGCCTGCAGAAGAGAGCAGAGGCAAAGCTCTCCGTCGCCCTCGCCCCCTCCGAGGATTTTCTAGGACGCCCCGGCATTTGTTTATCCAGCTGCGTCCACGGGCAGGGAACTGGGGGGAAGCGCGCGCAGGACGCCGCGACTTGGCAAATCCTGTCGTTGTCCCTCTGGGAAACGCAGCGTCTGCCCAGGTTCTCCCGGCTCGCGGCGAGCTCCACCCAGGACCTCCGCGTCCAGAAGCCGCTGCCGCAGGCGCCTCGGGCACCCCCT